CCATCGTCGCCGCCCCCATCGTCACCGCCCCCATCGTCACTACCCCTACCCCCACTGTCCCCACGACCGCCCTCCCGCACTACGGTGCTGCCTCCACTCGTTCATTCATTACGTCCGCTACAGCTGATTGACAGTGTTTTCTAAATGCATCGGCCTGCTGTTGGCCACCGAGATCGCTTGCGGAGCCTGAGGGAAATACACTCGCGACTGGTCACGTAAAAAACAGACTGGCGCGGTTGAAATAGTCGCGCGCAATAAAGATTGCCGTAGGGCGGCCGAAACGCCGGGGTAGATTGCATCAGAAATAAATCTTAGCAGTAACACATTTCCTAACGTTGTAAAGATGGCCGGTCTATTTTATGTGTTTCGTGCCAACATGGCCAACATGTTTTTAGCAAGTTACACATCTTTGGTTCCTCTTATTCTAATCTACTCATTGTCAGTTCTTCTAATTTTAATTTGAAAACACTTATATAATTCAGTAGTTTTTCATATTTCTGCTACTTTATATTCATTTCATTTTGGATCGTATAATTCTTTCCATAACTAATGCTTTCATAGTTGATGTGGATTTTGTTTTGCTTTTCTTATCGACTTCATTTTCGTAGAAGTACTATGAAGGAAAGACCTCCGCAATTTCCTCATGTAGGCGGCCATTTCATCGTGTTCTCAGAATGTCGAGGCGGATAACATTTTATGGCGTGTATGATAGTACGTTCCGTGCATAACGATCTAAGTTGGGTTTCTCGTTTATGACGAATATTGCCTTTTATTGCCTTTACAAAACGGTTCCTTTCAACCTTACTGAATATGCTTCAGTTGTTTTATACGGGAACATTCTCGTAGTGAAAGTAGACATACAATGAGCTCATTCATTGTAACATAAACTGTCTAGTACGAGGCAACCAACCATTTTGTGGGAGATTTCATTTTCAAACTTAGACGATGAGATCCTAACATGAACTATAATAATGAGCATAAATACTTGTACTATTTCATAGTTGTTGCAAATTTATTTTACAATACGTAATTATAACACGATTGATATTACTATAGAATATATTTTCTCGTATTCTTTCTAAAGGCAATATTATTATAATATCCAACTTGCAACCTGCGAATTTTTCAGCTATCGCTTAAAACTATCTTAGCGAAAAAATATGTGGGAAATTCCAAAAATAGAAATTTTTAACTATTAAAAATTGAAAAGTTTCAATAAAAATGACACTTTTTCAGTTGAACTCAGGTTTTTGTGCTCTGACTTGTCTTAAGAAAGGGTTTGAGCGGTGTATTTGAACCACCAGGGCTACCAACAAACAACACAACTAAACGATCATAGACATCGAACCAACTTGTAATGTGTGTTATTAATAATGTAAATAAGAAACGAAATACACCGGCTGGGTCAGCATTGCCGATGTTTCGACAGCAACGCTAACCGGACGTCCCTAGGTTTCGAGACCGGTCATTGGCGGATTTGATAAAACTAATTATGTGACTATGTGGCTGCAGCTGTTGTCTGGAGGAAAATTGTAGCTGCCAGCTGTTCTCATCGGTAGTATTGGGTGGTTGTTTGGATCAATACTAGACGAATGCTGGGACTTCTACAAACGCATCACAGATCGCGCACTATCTTTTTTTCTCTTTCTTTGCCTTTCCTTCCCTTTCCTTATGCACATACACAAAAAGAAATGCACTCTACTACCACCAATGACGAGTGATCAGGCGGAAGTTTGGAGCTTGTCCCGTCGGAGCGGTACCCCGCTGAGGGAAATGAAGCATTAATAAATCAAGAAAAGTAGTAGTAAAAGCATTAAAGTAAGAAAAATAGTAGTAGTTAATATCTGTACTAATATGTGTACTAAATATAATGGGTACATATTTTTGAACTACTTGTATCAAAAACTGGAAAGGCAGCTGACAAGATGCCCTCCCGTTACAGTTTCTGTAAGGGTAATTCAAAAATACGTTTGCATAATTTTAACTTCTTCAAAACTTCTTTGTAAAATTTGTTAGTACTTTTTATTATTTTTAAATCCATCTCTAACTATAAGTTAATAAACATAATTATATAAAATCTGTGACAATATTACCTTTCTATCAACTCCCTTGTCCCTCGTTTTCACTCCTGTCGAATGTGAGAAACCGGTTCCCCAACTTGCGTACGTATTTTCTTTGAATAACTAAATTTTTATTATGCACTATTGCGTTTAAACATTTTGAAAGTGGTAAGGTGGCAGAGCTGGCCAAATCGCGTAAGCTTTCCCCTCAATGAGACTTTATTTTTTTATTTATTTATTTATTTATTTATTTATTTATTTATTTATTTATTTATTTATTTATTTATTTAACTGGTCACTTGCCGATGGCAGCGTGTCGCGAGGGCCGGAATACCATATCGCGACACATGTATTGTACGATACATGTATTTTATTTATTTCATTCACTTTATTCATTTTGTTCATTTTATTCATTTTTTACTTTAATAATTTTATTTAATCTTCATCTCTCTTCTTTAACCAGAGATTAAACGCATATTTTCCTCTTGCTGTTGCAGTCCACATGCAGTCGCTGTGCAAGACGCACTTCCTGCAGCAGCTGTACCGCAAGATCGACGGCGCCGTGCTGCAGTCGCAGAACGAGCGCAACCTGGACTGCGTGGTCACCTTCCAGACGCACTCCATCCTGCAGCGCTTCATGCTGCGCTTCGACCTGCTGCAGCTCGACTGCAACGACCACCTCTTCGTGTACGACGGCGCCCACGCGGTCGGCAGCTACAAGGTACGCCAACACCACCACTTCTGCTCCATCAGCTAGTCGAATACGTTGTTGTTGTAGTTCATAATGATGATATTGTGGTAGTTGTGTATGCATTGGAAGATCCGACCATAAGATTGGTATTTGTATGGTCTCATATTTCCATGGCGACGGTTGGCACTATGCGAATCATGTATGAGATATCACATCCCCCCTCCGATATGAGTTACCGATGTAAACAGCAGGGCCTACTCGAGTAAAGGGTCCATTGAGATTCAGGCAATAGAGTATGCAAGGGCGTGTGCAAGAGCGTGGGCACTGGCGTGGGCAAGGAAGAGAGTTAGGTCGTGGCAAGAGCGTGGACACGGGTTTGAACAATGACGTGTGCATGGCTGTGAACAAGATCGCGGCAACTATTCAACGCCTCAATATTCTTGTCCGCCGACGAGAAGGGAGATCAACAGCGGGAAAGAGGAGGTTGTGTGGCCTGAGCTCCATCTCGTTAAATGCACATGCTCCAGGTCTCGTTGCGTTCTGCCATTTCCCGTACGTTTTTGCGGTTTTTCTGTTGAAGCGTAACCTAAAGCTCACACAGGCACATCGTTTTTTTACGTCATTGTTTATCGCATCTCGTGATTAACAGAACAAGATGCATATTTACAGTTTTTCAGAAATGTAAAACGGTACCCGGTACAGATTTTCATGAACAGATATGCAAGTTACGGTCATTCAAGACCGTTTTACCAGTGAGTTTCGTGTCACACGTATGTGATTATCTGGCGTAATTGGTAAATAGTGAGCGGAAAACAGTTGAAGAAAACCGTTGCGATTACGCCCAACTACATTGATTATTTAGACGGTTCTCTCCATGCCGTCTACAAAATGGAGACTCAGCAGACAAGGTTTCCATTTTCCACAGAAAGACCGCCTTGAAAAAAGCTTTCAAATATTTATGCTCTGCCTGTCCAGGAATCAAAAGTTTCATATGAAAGGTATCTAAACTGTTGTTAGATTTACTGGAACTTGAGAAAAAAATATAACGAAATGAATTATATTTTAAAGACGAAATAAAAATGTTTGATTGGCATTTTCCACCTTTTCTTCAATTGCCTCTTTCGACTGAATTCTCATACTCCGCGCCTAAGTGCTAACGAAACAGTTGACGTTATGGGTCAGCAAGGCTTCTAGGCGCTGGGCTATAAATATTTTCTAATTACTTATGGCGTTCTGGAACAGAAACTTTTTTTAAGTTTTTGAATGTAATGAACTGTCTTATCGCTGAATTCATCAATACTGTTATTGTTGAATCATTTACTTTATTGTAGTGTTAAATATTATTGTGTTGTGTGCGTGTTTCTTTAGAAAAACATGGTCTTCTTTAGCAGAATTTTTGCAGCTGCAAACTGAACTTCCGCCCTGTCGTGCATTCCCCGGCAACAACATCATGGCCCATAAACAATACAGAGCCATGTAGCATTCCGGGTTTTTGATAAAACAAATTTCAGAGTGTAAACCACTTTGCGGTAAATTTTCTGTATCGCAGAACCCCCTGTATTGTGCTCGGGTTCTCTAAAGTATTCGAGCGAAATTTGAGAGCAATCGTTCGAAAAATTGCAATTTTTTGTGAAACTAGTACAAACACACATCCATTTTGTACATTAAGATATTGGCATTGATAAACACAAATTCGGTAAATGGGTAAACACAAATTTAGAAAATGGTATTAAGTTCATTCACAATGTTGGAGAGCAATTAATTATTTTCAGTGCATTTTGCCTAATTGGTTTTTGCAATTATAAATACATTTTAGAGGAAATCATTTCTAAAGGAAATTGTGTATGATAACAAGTAATTAAGGTATTTTTGGTGGAATTATTATTATTCAGCAGCTGAAATATCATGCAAAATTAAATTGCATTGAATTTGACTGGAAGTATATTACGATTTGCTTTTATTACTTTGTCGTTGCAATAGTATAAAAAATGAATAATTTTAATTAGCCCAGAATATATTTTTTGGAATTACACAGAAAGTAAAACAATTATATATAACAATGTTAGCCTTGCCAAATTTAAATATACTCAACTTATTAGAATGAAAAGTAATAATAAAATAGTGAAAACGGTAATTTCGCATTTTCTTTATTATGGTATTAATGATCGACTTCCCATTTTCAGGGAAGAGGCATTAAGTGTATCTATTTTTATTCACCTTATCAGCTAGAAATGTATTTACAACATATCAGTTGAAAACTAAATTAAATAAAGAATGGCGAACAAAAAATAAATTATTTGTCTGTAAGTACGATTGAATACTTCCTTTGAATTACATTCAAATTTGTTTTAATCCTAATCAAAAATACCACTCTATCGAAATAATGTTGAAGCTTATCAATTGTTTTCATATTAATTCATTGAAAATGTAATCGTTATATTATAATTTTGCGAACACAAAATAGGTACTATTCTGAAAATTTAACTTTTATCATCTTTGAAACTTTGGCATATTTTCGAAACGAAATCTTCCGGAAATACGAGAAACCCTATTCACAAAAATCCTCTCTTTGAATTTAGTACCATTATTCCGGGTGGCTCTGCGATTTTCGCGTTCCGTCCGCAAAATCAGCTCAGCGATTTTTCATTTTTAATTCAGCGTTTAATGGCAGAGTACGCTCGCGGGCGGCGCGGTGTGGAGAAATGAGTTCGGTGCCAGATGGCGCTAGCGTCGCGCTGCACGCGGAGCTCTAGCAATTCCCCGCCCCCTTTTCCCCCTCCACATGGGCACGGCCGGGTAATGCGCCGAACAGATGAGCGCGGTCACTGGCGGTTCATTTCAGTGATCACTTTCAGACCACGAAGAGATTTCAGTGCGGTGAGCACACGTAGACGTTAGCTCAGAATTAAGGAGAGATGGCGCGTGATTGGACAGACGAAACAGGGGAAAACTGTACAAAAGGGTGGAACGAAGAGTGACAGCTTTTTGAGAATTGGTACTTCTAATAGCGATGAAAAGTAGCCTTCTAGATTCAATAGAAACATTGTAAAATTTCATTGTTCTACAACATTTTGAGGTGCCTCAAATTTTTTTTTTAAAATATGCACTTTTAAAACTTTAATAGTAATTCAAAATTTGTTTGTGTGTTTTTTTTAAAAAAATATTTGGGCATATTCACTGTGAAAAAATACAATTAGGAATGATGAAGTATTATTAGATTTAAAAAATTCGCATACATTTTAGTCACAATATAAAAAAAGCGCTTCTAGGGCTATTTTGGCACATTTTAGCGCCTCTCAGAGCATGCAAACTGCTTCCTCAACCTTTCAATTACTTCTTACTATATCTCAATATGTCTCCCAGCATTTCAAATCACAATATCGTGTTATGACGCAATTAAAAATATGTCTTTACACGACGTGACGACGCTTCTAAAAATATTTCATCAGTTACAATAATAACAGAGCACCATGTTCTGGTAAGATAACAGAATAATTTGTTCCTTTGAAGTTGATTTCTTACACAATTATTGTCTGATAATTATTGATTTTATTCTCACCAGAAGTTACAAACTACCCCAAAATTGATAAAACTTTGTTATTCTATTTATAAGAAGGCATATAAAGTATTTGTCTAGAATTGTATAGTGTAAATAAGATATTGGTGAAAAGGGTTGAAATAGATAGTCAATTTTCGAATTTATGAAACTTCATCGCACTGGCGTCACTCAATCGTTTCGTTGCAAAACAAATATTTTCATAAAACTTAGATTTGTTTTTTAAAACAATGTTTGTCTCAACTTTTTATGCCAAACCTCCTTTTATTTAATTATTTTATGTATTAGTTTGCTAATACTTTTAATGATCTTGAAGAATTTCACTGCATCTATATGTACGATGCAATTTCCACAATTATATATGACTCGCTTCCACAAGACCGTTTTTAGGAGTTCGTTTTTCAAATAATAGATTGAAAATGGATGTTATGCAATCAACAATTATGTGCGTTTTACCTGCATGCATCACTATCATTACTCATACTATAGTTTTGGTTACTAATTATGGTGTGTGACTAAATGGTTTTCAACAATTTTTTTCTTTGAATGCTTTTTTGAAAGCAAATTCAACGGAAATAAACTATATTTTCACTACATTTGACAATTGAAAATTATTTATGTTATTTTTTGCTACCTGATTTTCGGGCTGTGTCCAAGTTCTTATTCATCACAATCGTCCATTAAGCGAACTCGCTAGCCTCGCGTGTCCTACCCGCCCAACTCTTCCACCTTGCCCACCTTCTCCCCGCTCATCCAGGCCTTTCCGCCAGCTCCTGCCGCCACCTCCTCTCGTTACTCAGCAACAGTGCTTCGCGTGTTACATCGTGTCTGGGAACATTTTGTGATATAGCCAAATTTCGGGTAACATTTTGAAATCACGAGCGTCCCCGTTGATTTTTCTCGTCTTCTCAAATGTGTTCGTGCAAAATTTGAGAGCGATTGCCCCAATGTTTTATAGGACGAACACACACACGCTTGCTTTCATTATATAATACCCCCATAAATATTTTCTTTGCATTATTTTCATCCACACGTGAAGAACGACAATCTAATTAAAAAATATATTTTTATCTTGTGATTATTTATTCTAATAATATATTTTTGTATATATTTCTAATTTATTCCTTCGTTGGCAGGCTAATTCTAAACCGGATAATGATATGACATTTCTTTTCTCTTAATTGAAATAATTTAATTTATTCATTAAGTCCATGAAAGCATCTTACTCGACATTTACTCCTGCATACAAGACTGCTTCACCGCTCAGCCCGCCTCGACCCACCCCACCCCGCTCCGCCTGCCCTGCCACCCTAACCCTACGCCACGCACCCACCACGGCGCGACAGCCCCCACGGTCTGCACACCCCGTTCGACGGTTCCGTCCCTCTCGCCCCATCTCGGCAGCCATGCTTATTCCTTACCCATTCCACCTTTCTCTACAAATTCTGCCCATCACTCA